AATGATATAGTACTCATTCAGTAGAAGAACATCATACTTTATACTTAATGAAAAAAGTAGGTAATTCTCTTAGTTACTCTGGTCGTTCTGACCATTCCAACTATATGAAGAGCTTACTCTGGTCGTTCTGACCATTCCTACTATATGAAGAGCTTACTCTGGAACAATATTAGCAAAACAACAAATTGTCTCTTGATATTTTCTGTACATTTTAAGATCACTCTTACTTTCTACGTAAACATGAGTAACATTCATAGTCATTGCACTGATCATTATGAACAACTGCACCAACAATGTGTAACTCAATGGAAATATCCATCAGCATCGCTTCTACTATGTGTTCTACCGCCTGAACTTTTTATTCACAATATACTTCCACATTTAACATATCTTGATTTATGTTCGCTTTCACAAGTGAACAAAATTTTTAAAAAATTAATTGATACAAATAATCAACTGTGGACAAATGCTATTAAAAACGAAATGTTAGGTATGTTACAAAGAATAACAATAAATAAATGACATTGAAGTTTGCTCCATTATTGTTTTTCAGATGAGCCACCACCAGATGAAAAAGTATTCGAAAATGAAAAATCAAGATTTAAATATTTGTATGAAAGACAACAGAAAAAACCATGGACATGCGTATATCGTGTGATTGCTTGTGGTTGGCAGTAAGTAGAAAATGAGATGTTTCCATAATCAGACACAGAAATTTCAATGGAATTTCACAACTCTAAGGAATTTAACGATTAAAAACCATCAATGGACAATACAGCGCCTCGATGATACGAGTCATTTGAGAGCGAGGAAAACAGAAAGTCCTTAAATGCAAAGCACGAAACATTCTCAACTTCATTCTTTGTATGATGCTGAAAATCAAGAGATTCTGTTCAGTTTTCTAAATTATTATATGTGTTTAAATTCCTCGATTTCCAACACTCTATATGATCAGTAGATCCGTTCGTGAAAGTTTCCATTTCTGGACGATCATGCATATTGCTGCTAAAATTGTCAGCATGTGCAATGTATATGTGTGCAGAGATATTATGGACTGTAACAGTTAACTTTTGTGATAGGAAACACACCTAGAGTAAACATCGTGGGGTCTTATGTGGCTTCGGAAGTCAGCTTTTCAGAGAAACTTACGCATTATCATCTAGTTTCGAGCTTCCAAGATCTGTAAGAAAAGTTCTCTGCTCGCAAAGGTATGTTCCATATCGTCTTTCTTCAAGTAACCGAAAATCACAAATCTGATGTCTTCCTTTTGATAAATTATTTGAAGAACAGATAGCTGTCTTTTGATTTGATGCCAATAGTGATCATAATATTGGCATTGTTAAGTTCTTTTTACCTTGTCTGCGATATTTCTAGTACCAATCGTATAAACTTGTTTCACAAGTATATAACAGTTCGATCATCGATCAATGTCATACAGAAACAAGAACAAAATCATGAACTGTGTAAGAACTCGAAGTGTGTTAAAACAGTTCCACGTGATATAATTCTTTTTTAACTTCATGTATTTCAGTTATTTATTATTTTCATGGCGAACCACAAAATAATATCAATGCCGATATGATAGATGATCGCAGTCGGAAATTGCTTCCAGAACCTGAAAATATGAAGAACAAACATCGATCATTCCATCATAGGGCAGAACTTCAGATCGAATGCTTAAAATGTAAATCAAAATGTTATTATCCGTCACGCTCATGTTCACAAGTGCAGCCATACCATTGGTTTGTGAGTTATTTACCGACACAAGATGGTGGTGGTGGTGAACGAATCGAAGTCATTGAAATCTACTGTGGCAAATGCTGCCGTTTCTCATTGTGGAAAAATACGTTACGGGGACCTGTAAGTAACTTTGTGCCACCAAGAGATCATTAGCAGCAACTGCTGAAGAGTTTTCGTAAGAGATACGATGTTCATTGTTTATCATTGTCAAATAAAAGCTTTCTTTCGAACAATAAACTAGAAATTACTTACATGACCTTTTATCGTTTTGAATAACACGAAGAATGATTGTTTCGTGATTCGCTCGAAAAAATCTTAACTTAGTAACCGAAGACTTTGAAAATTCGAAGAAGACACCTAATGACATCTTTTCGCAAACGGATTGGTGAACGGTGAGCACGAGGAACGATGAGCACGGATACTTAAGCACGGATACTTAAGCACAGGAACGATAAGCACGAGAACGTTGAACACCGAAAAGTTCAGCACGAAAAATAATAAGGACTTGAGATATGGGTGTGGTGTATGTGAGTGGGTTTTCGAGAGCTATGGGAGCACGCTTGTCTGAACTTACATAAGGACCTGGACCTTAACAAAAATAAAAATTTGAAGGGTGCGAGTATCAGTGTGCTTGTATATATGAATGTCAGGGTTGTAGAAACCATTAAATCCAAGAATTTCTGGGCCCCAATTTGACCGACCGATTAAATTTTTTGGCACCTAGTCGATAAACGTTTTTCGAACCTAATCGATCACTATTGCTGAATTCGGGCCTAATTAACTAATCTTTTGTAAGTAGAGCCCATCGGACCCGAAAACATTTTTTCCGAACCCAGTACATTAAATGTTCAGAACAGGACTAAGTGGAGTCTGTGTAGGTATAGATGAACTCTAGTGGATGTATGTGGGGGGGTGGGAGGGGGTAGACGTGTGATTGTGAATATGTTGTAGATGGCACAGAATCCGAGATGAGCGGAGCCAATCGTTTTTGGTCTCGAACCCTGCGGGATCGGGTCGAGGACCATGTTGTCCACGTCTACACAGAAGATCAGAATTACACCAACGCACAACTCTACACCAACACTTACATCCACGCCTTTAAGTTTGTTTCGTGCTGAACTTTTCGTTGCTCAACATTCCCGTGCTTAACGTTCCTCGTGTTTATCGTTTTCGTGCTGATCATTCTCGTGCTTATCGTTCCTGTGCTTAAGTTTCCGTGCTTAAGTTTCCGTGCTTAAGTTTCCGTGCTTAAGTTTCCGTGCTCATCGTTCCGGTTCCCATCCACATCCTACACCCACGCCCACACCCACACCCGTTTCTATCACATGTATTTATCAAACGATAGCAAACACGATAACTTTTTATAAACAAGATAATCTTTATCTATTGTTTAAGAATTAAAAATTATGCATAATATATTCTTTATTATTAATAAAAATCAAATAATCATTGTATAGATTACAATACAATAAAAAAAATATACTTTGTTTAATATTGATATCTATAGATCTCTATATGTAAATCTAGAGAATGATCGTTTTTTGATTAGACAATGTCACAAAATTCGATATGACTTTAAATAAAATATAAGTAATAATATGATCAAGTCTATTTGATTTTATATATTTATTAATTATTTCTTGGTCGAAATGGTATCGACATATGATTATGATCTTGATGTTGTTCAAATACATTTAGCATTTTTATGACAACTTGTTTTGGTAGAATAAACCAAATAAAATCTTGATATTCTTTTGGAATATCTAATGGTGGATCATTTCGAAAATCAATATTTTCACAAACATATTTTGAGATATTGTTTGCCATTGATATAGCTTGATCTAATGGATCATTTGAAGATGAAAATCTAATTGATTGAGGAATTTTCGATTGCTATATCATAAAAGAAGTAAACATATAAAATTAATCATACAAAAAAAAAAAAAAAATTAAAATTTATTTACAATAATATGATTTTGTAGTGTTGAAAAATTTTGCTTCATTATACCATTTTCATAAGTAATCATTTGAAGATTATGACAATGAGAGATATGGCTTCCTGATGATACTGGGCGAGGACTCCAGACAGCTGTTTCCAGTTCATAAGTATACTTAAAACGAAAAGAAATATTTTCATAAATTTTAATTATTGAAAAAAAAAAGAATTAATACTAATGGTAAAAATTTCCATCCTTCATCTGCAATAAATTCAAGTGCATTTAAAATATAATCAACTTCTTCATCACTTGCAAAATAAGATAAATTAAATCTTGTAAAACCAGGTTTCATTAATACATTTCTTGAAAATCCATCGAATCGACCACTAAAATATCTATTAAATATTTTTCATAAATTTTGTTTAATTAAAATTTACTTTTCATCTTCTGCTATAAATCTTGTATAAATTTGTGCTTTTTGATCATCAATATTTAATAATTCCTAAATGAAAATATTTTTTGATTTGAAACAAATTCTTTTTTTTTATATCTCAACTTACTAAAACATAAGGTCCAGCACAAGCACATCCAGATCGTACTTGAATACCAAATAAATCATTTAATAAAATAGATATTAAATTATGATGTAAATATTTATCAAATATTGGTACATAAATAAGAAATGAAAATATTGCTAGACGAGGAACAGTTGATGATCCAAGTACAAGTAATTTTTGATGATTTCGAAAACGTTGAAAAAATTTGTCAACTAATTCTGTTTCACGTTTTTCAATTATGTTCTCTCCAACAATTTCTTTTAAATGAAAAACTAAACCAGCACGTATAGCACCAAGAATATCTGGTGTTCCACCTTCTTCACGTATTTCAATATCTTTTACATATTCAATATTTGTTCGAGTTACAAAATTTACTGTACCACCACCACAATCAACTGGAATTCGATTTGTAAATAATTTTTTCTTAGCAATTAATATACCTGAATGCAAAAAAAAACAAGAAGACAGAAATTCAATTGTTTCTTTTTTTTTCTATCTACCTGGTGTTGAAGGACCACCAATAAATTTATGTGTAGAAATAAAAACAGCATCTTTATAAGCTGTTGTTGATGGATTCATATCAATTTTAACATAAGATGCTGCTGCAGCATAATCCCAAAAAATCCATCCATCATAATGATGCACCAGTGTTGAAATAGTATCGACATCAGTTCGAATACCAGTTACATTACTGGCTGCATTTAATGAACAAATAATATGTTTCTTAACCGTATGATGATAATGTTTTAATTTTGTCTTAAGAAAATGTTGATCAAGAAGACCTTCTTTAGTATTTGGAATTCGAATAAGCTAAAAATAAATCTTATGATTTTTATAGAAGAGATTTAAAAAAACAAAAGGAATTTACTTCAATTCCTGTTTCTTTCCATGGTAAAATATTTGAATGATGTTCAAATGTACTAATAAAAACAACAGTTTTATCTTGAATATCTTTATCTTTTAAGTGTAAAACATTAACAAGTTTATTAACAGCAGCTGTTGAACCTAGAAATTTTATTTAATATTTAAATGAATAAGATTTATTTATTAACCTGATCCAGTAAATATAATAACATCATCATCAGTTGCATTAACACATTTCTTAATAATTGATCGTGCTCCTTCACGAAATTTTGTAGTTCGTAATGCACAAGCATTATTTTCACTGTGTGTATTAGCATAACTGTAAATAATATTTTTGCAAAAAGAATTCTTTTTTTTTTTAAGATGAATACTATTCTTACTATGGTAAAACATCATTGAGTATGTAATATTCTATAAATTTAATAGCTCGTCCAGATGCTGTATAATCAGCATATGTAACTATAGAAGAAAAGAAAAGTATTTATTTAGAATAATAAAAACAAAATTTAACATACTTGCTCGAGGTCCAAATGGAGTATCGATTGGAGCATTTTTACCAATAATATTTAAATCAATATATCGAAGAAGTTTTTTTTTATCTAAATAAATTGTTTTATTGATCATGTCAAAATATTTATGAAGTTCTCAATGGATGAACTAATCGTGATCAGAGATGTATCGATCAGTTCTAGTCGTAGGAGAAGAAATATAAGAAAATAGAATTGTTCAAAAGTTATAGTTGAATATTTTGTTTTTTTTTTTGGCGAAATATTCTATAAAGCAAAAACTCAAACAGGATGACAAAAAACTGATATTCGACCACTGAATCATTCAGAAAAAGGAATATTTAATATATATTTTTTAGCTTTAATGCAAATAAGTTTTCAACTAATTCACACTGGATTGGAATGAGGACTAAAACCTTGGTTCCCGATGTTTCTAACTGAAACTTGATTAGTATTCTGTTTAATAGGATTACTATAAATAAAAATCCAATGCCTTTTACCTTTGAATGACTCTAAGTTAATTTAACATCCTTAAGAATTCTTGCTCTTTTCGATCTCACTTTAGAAAAGTAGATCTTTTGATACTCACTTTTACAATCAATTGATGAAAATTTCAATAAAGAAAAGTTCCAAACTAACCTTTATCAAATTGATTGATTTCAGGAAAGATTGTTAATGGTTTAGCAGTTTCTGATGTAAGTAATTGATCAACATGTTGATTGAATGATATTCTATTTGATTGTGTTATCCCTAGGCAAACATTTTGTAAGCAAAATCTTGGTCGAAATGTAAGGTACAGAAAGATTAATAGATGACAGACAATAATGGAATTTTTCTTGTACTACGATCTGAGCTAGAAACAATCACTTGAATTCATTTACGGATGATTAGAAATGTTTCTGAAATAGCCTATCTGATTTAAAATTCGATGCTGAATATGAATCTCTGAAGATAAATCTCTGCTACAAGTACAAGGAGTGTAC